AACAGCTTTATGACTGACTTAGTAGTGCTTATAACTTTTCAATTCACAGTTACATAGGTAATTCCTGTTTAACAGTTAGCAAATAATTAACTACAAAGACAGTTACAATTTTTTTTATCATTTTAAAATGCCCAAAAGATCAAGATCTCATCTTTCTAGAAATAGTTCCCAGGCGAGGGCATCAAAAAAACGTTGTAATGAGGAATCTTTACCGGAAACTGAAAATAGTCTTACAAGTCGGGGAGAGTCAAGTAGAGTATTTGCAGCGGCTTGAAGAGCAAAATAATATAAATATACAAATTCACACTAGGGAATCGAGCTCTGAGCGTTCCCAACGCCTACGAGATTAGAGAGAAAGGCAACAAACGTCAACGACTAGAGTTCGTAATCGAGTTTTAGGTCACAGTAACAGATCAGCTTTCTTGCATTATGCTCAACAGTCTTCCGTCCAAATCGGAGCCACGAATAAGATCTGCTCTAAGTGCTGTCAAAAATGGGTCGATAAACCAAATGGTATGTGCTGTGCTTCTAGAACAGTTAGTCTCCCCAATATTGAGGAGCCGCCACAGCCAATAAAATATCTTTTGACAAACAATCATTCACCATCTGGATATTTTTAACCAACATCCGAAAGTACAATAGCCTCTTTTAAATGACATCGTTTGACGCGAACTTTTAAAATAGAGGGACAAGTATACAAGTCATCATCATCTTCCTGCCCCTATCCTACCTAGGTGGGGTCGGCACAACATGTGAGTCATGTTGTAAGCGGTTTTGGCCATATTTTTACAACCAGCTGCCTGCCTGGCGTCAACCCTCCTTAGGAAAAACACTCAGATCAAATTTCTACTGTGTAACTATCACGATTCATGAGATACAGCCTGTTGACAGAGCGACAGACAGACGGCAGAGTCTTAGTAATAGGGTCCCGTTTTACCCTTTGGGTACGGAACCCTAAAAAGGCCCCAGAGATATAGTGTTGCGCGGTAGACACGGCCAACTAAAAGGGTCTCTGAGTTACACCGATTGTATGATCCACTACAATATCCCTTAATAGTCGTAATAGGAGAAGACGGTTATTATTTTACCATTCCTCAGCAAGGTACAGTGCGTAACAAAACTGTGACATGCATGCAATTTCATGCATTTAGGTTGATGGTTACAGCTTCCTGTTTTAATCCAGGGTTCCGTACCTAAAGGGTAAAACGGCACCCTATTACTAAGACTCCGCTGTCTGTCTGTCTGTCCGTATGCCTGTCCATACGTCACCAGGCTGTATCTCATGAACCGTGATAGTTAGACATTTGAAATTTTCACAGACGATGTATTTCTGTTGCTGCTATAACAACAAATACTATAAAAAACAAAAAAAAATAATGATTTTTTGCCGTTTTTATAGATAATGTTGACAGTAGTAATGATTTTTGATAATAAGTAAGTGTAATATTTCTATGATGAATAAAGATATTTCAATTTGAATTTTTTAATGTGATAAAGTGGCAAACGAGCTGGCGGTTCACCTGATGTTAAGTGATAACCGCCGCCCGTGGACATTTGTAACACCTGTAGGTTTGCATATTCGTTGCTATCTTTAAATAAAGTAAGCCCCGGCTACCTCTCTCACCAGACGAAGCGCAGAAGTATAATACTTCTACTTTACGCTGGTATTCTGTGAGTTCTTGGTACTTACCCGGACGGACCTGCCCATTCGTGCACCAGTGAACACTGTTGCGTGACCCTACACCCCACAGTGAAATACCAAATTGAATGGTACGGAACCCTTCCTTTGCGAGTCCGACTCGCACTTGGCCGGTTTTTATTTAATACATTGTCGATATGATGGCAAAAACGATATCAGAAAGATTGAATTACATATTATGTCGTAATCACCAGAGACTATGGGCTGGTGAAACATTCATCTTAGAGACGCTTTAAATCAAGACATTGGTCCATCAAAAATCGGTCAACTCGTAATCTGCAACGTCATATTCATTTACAGATTCTCCGAGTTATCTGCAATAAAAACCCAAGATCGCATCTTGGGTGTTTTGATTTATGTCCGAAACTATGGGAGACCAGACTTATTTGTCACTTTTACGTGTAACCCCCAATGAACCTTAAATTAAAGCGGAACTATAATCTGGTCAGCGGTCTTTCGATCTTCATGACGTAATTTCAAGAGCATTTCATTTAAAGATGAAGAAATTCATAAAAATATTCACCACAGACGAAATATTCGGAAGATTGTATGTGTGTAAGATAACTTTTAATATTAATTTTTTTTTTGTTAAATACGATTGTGCGAAGCCGGGGCGGGCCGCTAGTTATATATAAGTTTATAAATGTATAATATAATATGTATTTATTTACAAAAGAAAAGTATGTCTATCAGTTTTCTAGTACCCAGAGTAGAAGCGTTGCTTAGTTTGGGACAAGAAAGTGTTGTCCAAATGTGTCCTAAATATTATAACATCATCTCTTCAAGTTGAAAACTATTTAACCCCTAGCCTCTACTACAACAACATACCCCACTAGACTCCGTGACACTAATTTATTTAAGATTAATGTACATATAATGCTCTTTTGTTTTATTCAATATTATTTGTATAATAATTATTATTATTTTTTTAATTTTCTTCAGACTAAATAAAAAAATATTGTACAATTCATGTTGTACAATTTTAGCTTATTTTTATTACTATAGTTGTGATCACGTTTACGTAATTTATCTTATCGTAAGGGCTCCATAGGAAGCTAGCATCGCGGTGCTCTCCACATTTTTTTTAATGGAGACCATTTCTGACAATAAAACAGCACAATACATCTATTATAACATGTACACTATAATTATAATATTATATTTCTCGTAAAAATTTGTTTCCAATGCATAACTTTTTTATTTCAACACTATGTAAGAACATGTTTTTTAAGCTTTTTTTAATAAGTGTGTTTTGATTTTATTCTCCAATTCGTTACGTATATTTCATACTACCTACTGCTCGCGACTACGTCTGCGTAGAATAGACTGAAGGAGTAACATTGAGACAGAAAGACAAATATGTATATAAATAATAGCCTATGTGTTATTCTGACGTTTAAGCTATATTATTGTAAATTTTCATTAACATCCATTCAGTAGTATTTGCGTGAAAAAGTAACAAACATCTATCCATACATACAAACTTTCGCCTTTATAATATTAGTAAGGAGTAAGGATATTTCCACGTAGAGGGCTGTTTGTTTTTTGTCAACAATTCAATTCAAACCCTTTTTTAATTGGTCACCGTCAACGTTAGTTTCTAAAATCTTTGAATGTCGGGAGCGAACAAATCCTGTTTCAAATGCTACCTTTTTGCCAATGGTACGTTGAGCGAACAGGTAGTAACCTCGAATCGAAAAAAAACTTTCCACCACGTCTACGTAACAAAGCACTATCCATTACTATTGAGATCATACGCGATGTCGAAAAACATGCCGAGATGAAGGAATAAGGGAACCTCCGGGAGTACTTCCGAGTGAGGGCGGGGCACAGGCGGGGGCGGATGACAGAGGAGGGAGCGGAAGTGTCGGGCCGGAAACGGTGCCGGGCGGAAGCGCGCGAACCCTTTGCCGCGCCTTTTGTTTATCAAAGATTCTCTCATAACTATTACTGTTGCGGCAACAGTGAATGAATGAGGTCGCTGCAACTTCGCATACCACGACTTCACTATGACTTTTGGCTTGAGGCCAAAGGAAAAAAATACAAAACACGTTATATACCACGTTTCACTTTTGCTTCTTCATCACAAACATTTGTTAACATTTTTTTTGCCACAATATAAATATTATATAGGATAAAAATATGTTGAAGCACAAAAATATCATATAAAGTGAAGAGATATCATGTCATTTTTCCTATTTCCGACGTATCGCGTAACTACGAGACGTTTCATGTTGATTCAAAACATTCCGACCGTAAAGTCAGCGACTTGGAATATTGCCTCACCTCCTTATGAATATAAAAATTTTGATTCGCCCTTGCCTACTCGGAAAATAAATTTCAATTCAAATGTTAATACATCTTTTGCAATGATGATAATCGTGTAATATCGTGTAATAAACATGTTCATAATATTTATTACAAGATTATCATTCCTAATGGTTCACTTATAGGTACTATAAATAGATATAAGGCATAATGTGCATGTAAATGATATGTTTCGAGAATACAAGCGATTAAACAAGCATTCAATAAGCATTTAGAAATAAAAAAAGTTAAATGATCCATAATGGAACTGGTGGAATAGCGACCGAGGTTTGAGTTACAAATATACAACATCGCTCCGGGCGCCTCACTCCCTCTCTCGCCCCGTCTCTAGGTCTATTTATCTGTTTCCCACTCAGTCGCCCTCCTCGTCTGTTATATGACCGAAAAACTTGGCAAGCCGATTTCAAATTTACTATAAGCGCTCGAAATAATTTTAAATTAGGAGAGTAAGATATCAAAAAAAAAAGTTTAATGTCATACTGAAACTTGCATTGATTCAAAGTTCACAAATAATTAAGAAAGATTACTATATCTATATACTATATATTTGTATGTGACTCTATGGCAAAATGTCTTTATTGGTTAAAATGATTATATTATAAGGGATTGCTTAACTAAACTGTTAACTGACAGGCTCATAATGCATGAACGCAAACTGAGAAATATTATTCGGATTCATTTACAATTTGATCAATCATGTATAATGGACACAGAAGGTAAACTTTCAAACACGAAATTTTAAAATATAAATGTGAAATAACAATATGTATGCAATACCTTACTATAACATAGGCTATTAAAATGAATTTTCACAGAAATTTTTGTTTATGTAACTCTAATATACTTGTAAAGCACTCCTACAACATAAAGATAGGAAATGAGGATAGCTTTTAAGAGTTTTATGAGATTTATATTATAAAAAAAATTAAACAGTAGCTTAAATAAATAATAGCTTAGATAAATAATTACTTACCTTTATAAATCTTTTTGCTTTTGTTAATAATCCTAATGTTGTGTGTCTTGAAGCTTCAGGGTCTAACGGTACCATGTCCTTAAGTTTTTCCAGGCAGCTCCTGAGGTGTGCTCTCCTGTAACAAGCAAAGGCATAAATAAGAAATGATGTCGATGATTTTTAAAATGATAAAGATTCACTGCCGTGATCCCTAAACCAGAGAACACAATGAGATAATACCAAAAATATTACAGTACAAGTGTAAAGTAACAGCCTATATATGTACGTCTTACTGCTGGACATAGGCCTACTCAGTACATAGGGTTTTAGGGTATAGTCCACCACGCACCTGCCAATTGACAGTCTTCATAATATATCTTCAATATTTTTATAATTACTTTTAAAATATACAGGTATCCTCAGGATTTTTCATTTCCCGTTGATTCGTACGTGATTACTCAGCACTTAAAATTGAAATTAACAATTTAACTGTTGTCGGCACCGGGTTTTGAGCTAACATTGCTCGAGTATATCGAATTAGAAGCAAGCGCCCGTCCGCTGAGTTATCGCTTTAGAAATGTGAACACCCGGTACGAGAAGACCAAATAATCCAGACTCTGGAGGCCTGTTCTTTATCATCGAGCGACGCAGCGACAGAAAACCTCACAAAGGTGTGTTCCTTGCTTCAGAAATTTCAATCTGACTACTAAAAATATAGAAAATGTACATTAATACGTGAAGCAAAATCTTTGTAGCCCTTTTGCGAAAATTGCGCGGACGGAGGAGTATGAAATTTCCCAAACTTATAAGTTATATAGAGGAGTGCAGAATGTTTATATTTTGTTTTAATTATGCAAAAAAAACAAAATAAAAAAACATTACACACAGCGCCATATATAAATCTTTATGGTCAAATTTCGACCACTAGGCGAACACTAGTTATGGATAATTCGCCAAGCCGCCTCCATGTACGATGTGATTTTTTTTTCTACTTGATTGTGTCTCTGCTTCAGTTTTCAGCAAATCTTCTAAAATTCTTAGGCTTGTTTTTTTACATAAATTTAATTGTTACTGTTATAATATTGTTATTTTGATAACGGTAGGGGATGATATCCCTAAATCGGATGTTCTTTAATGGTATATTTTAAAATACATATTGTCATGTATATAGATATATACATGTCGATAAAATTTATAACAACGGTGGGGTATTTTCGAGAATCTAGTAATCCCCGAAATAAGCTTTGTTAGAGACAAACAACGCCGGAGGTCGTAGCTCTAATTTCGATAACATCTACATACCATGTCTAATACGGTACCAATTATTGTTCTAAGCATATTTAATGGGAAACCTAAATAAATGTTACTGCTGTTATAGTAAATATATGAATCATATATTTTTTCGCTGTAAAAACATAACTCTTATACAAACAGCAACCATTAACCACACAACAATGAGTATTGTTTTATTTGTATAAATCACTCGTATTTTTAGAGAAATAAAAACATTTATCAATTTTCTGCTTTGAAAATAACGACAGTGATGTCGGTGAGGGGTTTTTTTTTGTTTTATATATCAATAAACATTTCTTAGAATCGCCTGGAAAATTTTTCTTATACAGAATTTATTTTAAGAATGAGCACAAGTAAAGAGAAAAATATATATACGAGTATAATAATCAATTTATAGCCGTTATTTTGGCTTTAGAGTTCTGACAAAATCATACTTAATAAAATCCTCAAATGTCCCTTGATGCAACAAATAATAATTCTTTATTTTTTTTTATAATCCTGGTGAAGCATGCCCAGGTAAATAGAATAAAAAATAAGTTACTAAATATTAATCAATTTGTTTTATTAATAACTGAATTAAGGAAGAGAATTTACTTTCTATGAACTATAAGAATTTCACATAAATTTTTTGGTATTGCAGAATTTGCTTTGAAATTGAAATGAAGTCTAGAATGAAACATCGTTTCCTAAGATGTTGCATTCAGAAAGCAAACAAACGTGTGCATTTCACCATACGCGGGTGATTTTAATCAATACCAAGTTGTTCATTATAAATATATGCATTTATTTGGTTTTATTTTAACAGCTCATTATGACTCTCACTATATATATCCCACCAAACACTTATATAATAAAGTATATTTTTAGGATTTAAAGACACCTTTGCTGTCGAAATTGGCCGCTATCTTTATCTGTCCACTATCTTTTTTCTTCTAACGTTATGTTAAATAATCCATTTTTCGTTCCCTGTAACCAAACAGTCTATAAAAATAAAAGAGGTGGCAAAATGGATTGGACGCTTTCCCAATCTGCTTTAAATGACGAAAGATTGTTTCATGAGACTGTTTATTTCTAAGAAAGTTCTTATCAAAATTAACAGGAGTGACTGAGCGAGTTTCATCATAAATCTCGTTCTTGCTTTCTCCTACTTTAAATTTTTTAAACTATTTTCATGTACACTATTCATTTTTTAGGTTGCAGATCTGACAGTTGGTACTAATGATCGATATTCATTTACTATGGGCTCTAATATGCGTCCCATGTTTACGAAAATTGGTAACAGACTGACTATTGACTAATATTAATGTATTCAAGCGACAACAAGTTTCGACAGGTAAAGTATTATTGGTCCAGTGCGTACGAAGTTATGTAGGGTGCAGTGGGGCAATTCCGAAAACGGGTATATTCCGAAATCGTTAAATTTCTATTAATTATAATTATATTTCCCTACTAGCAATGTTAGGCTAGACAGCATATTTAATAACCACGCCGTCTCAGTCGTAGCAAGTCGCTAGTGACAATATTATGTATGTGACAGTAAGTTTTCTTGGACAAGTGTTTTTCCCGTCATTTTTCGTGATTCATAATAACCCCAATAAATTTATTTCGCAATTTTGGTAAGTTACATGAACAAGTTTTCCTTTTAACCATAGATTATCGTATTTTGCGTTTATATACGAAGAACATAACATTCTAATTGTTATTAATTTTTTTTTTTCAGAAATACCCTTTCGGGTTTATTCCGATATATTATATTTTCCTTATAACCCCATTTAGCTTTCACATAGTAATTAGCAGTGGTTCTCAAACTTATTTTTATGTATTTGCATTATTAACAAATTTGTTTTACATATCTATCATGTCCCGAAATTACATAAGAAAGAAAATTAAAAAATACACTTCACAAGATTTGGCTCAAGCGATCGAAAAAGTTATAAAGGGAGAACTAACTTAATATACTGCAGCTCAAGTATATAGACTCTTCATGAATACGTTAAGAGAAATAAAGCAACAGTCAGGTTTAATGCCAGAATACCTACCGTCATACCTATAAAAGAAAATAAATTAGTAGAACAATTAAACTATGGAAGATGTCGCTGTAAATGTGTCGCGGTAAACAATATCCCGACACCATTTAAGAATAATATCCCTGGTTAATTAATTTCCGGAAACGACATAAATTGTCTTTTAAAAAAGTACAGCCGGTAGAATTTGTAAGAAGAAAATGACAGATCTATTCGTCATTGCAGAATATTTCGGTTTGCTGGAAAGTATCTTGAAGAAAAAGATTATAAATTAAAAAAATATATATTACTCGTCCTTATTTATGTTGGTTTTTCCAATACTTTGTATTATTTACTAAATAATACAAAGTATTGGAATACACAACAATATATACAAAATAAGTGGACAAAACTGCTTAACAAAAAGTTTCCTACAATTGTAACTTAAAGTTTGAGAACCACACACACTTTCAGGGGTAATTACGAAATAACAAAGCTGTAATAAATTAGATTAATGTTTCTATGGACAATATTGCGTATATTTTGTGTAACACATAATTACGATTGAAAAAGTAATATGAACTTTGTGGCCAGAGTTCAATAAATACTACTTTTGAAATACTTCAGAATTACCCCGTAATTATCCCTTTTACGAAAAGAATATTAGCTTAATATTTCAAATGCTCTAATCCAAAACCCCAATTGCATTTTAAGAATTGAATAAATATTTAACACAGTTATTTTCGTAACGCAAACAGATGTAAAACAATTATGGTCTTAGATATAAAACTACTTTCAATAATTAATCGAAAACTGGACCCTTAGTGATGTCATACAAATTTATGTCGGAATTACCCCACTGCACCCTAGTGACCCATTACATACCTAATAAATGTGTATATATTTATTATATATTCATATACGAACCATCTACAGATTCAAAACAAACTCTAAACACAATGCAGTTTTAAATTCTCAGCTATTTTATGTCGTTAAAGCTAAAAGCTAGTGTACGTTTCCAGAAAACTGTTAATTTATTGCGTTGTTATTCCACGAGGGTTGCAGGACAAAATAGGAAAGAAAAATAATAGTAGATGAAAAAATGATAAAGAAACTAATTCACAGCAGGTGTGCGAGGCGGGATTCCATTCCGAAGGTGAGAAAGACCAGAGTTCGTATTATAAATATGTAAAATGGAGCAAAAACACAAGTTAGATGAACAAATTGGATAGTTTTAAACAACTTTTTATAAAGAACTTTTAAACAGTCCAGTTTTTCTTTTTATTTTTAATATTTAATTAGAGAATTGTTTTTTAGTTTCTAATTAGAGATTGGGTGAAACTATAACTGAGAAACTAGAACAACAACTGGATGATATAAATGGGATATATTTGATATCAGATTTCTCAAGCATTAGAAAGTTATTAGGTCAAACAAACGAAATTACTCAAAGATATTTTTTTATTAATAGATAAAAAATACAATATTTGTAGTTCTATTTAAAATTTACGTAAGGCTTAAAATCATTTAAATTTTCAACTATGTACCGGTGTTAATAAAACGGAATTATATAAAATAAAGACTGAAAACGTTCTTGATAAAGTTAAGTATCATGTTGATTATTTTTAGTAAAAAGAGTAATTATTATATACCGTGGAGTCATTATTCACTAAAATCTGAATTTCAAGGCACACATCCTAATCCCATCGAGTCCGAAGAACAGCAAACATCATTTACTTCAATCCTCTGCGTCAGTAAACATATTGCGAACAGTCTATTTTGCGTTGAATCAATCTCTGATACCGTATTGCATATGTTGTTGGCGGAGGGCTACCTATACAAAGATACATATTCAATAGTGTGAGCTGAGTGTGAGCAAACTAAACAACTTTAAAATGAATTTAAAACTCAACTTTCGCCAACTCGTATTACTAAAATATTTTTACTTAAAAATACAATAAACAACAAATTAAATGGTTCTTTGTAAATAGTTAAACATTTAGAGCATTAGGTTGAAACATTAGGTCCGTGGGGTCCCCGCACATCAAATTTTTTTAAAAGTTTATGTCCTAGGCTTAACGCCGCGGCTGGTGACAAGAGAGCTGGTTCTTTTCTCGCGCAAAGGTTGAGCATAACTATTCAGCGAGGAAATGCAGCTAGCGTTCTTGGCACCATGCCACGTCGATTAGGTTTATTAGATAATATGTAATTTTAGATAGATTTAATCTTGTAAATATTAGATCAATAAAGATTGTCATTACATTAAAAAAAAAAAATTTTTTTTGAGCATAATAACTAAAACTACATAATATTGAATTTGTTATAGTTATGTATATGGAATAATAACGACGTGAACTGAGCAAATACTATAATTTTTTATTCGTGATAGTCACTCCCGGACGGCCTTGCTTAGTTTTTTGCTAACGGATATTAACGACATGTTATTTTATCTTTTTAATTTTCATATGCAATTAAATCTATTTAAAATTTGTGAATAGATTTAAAGTAAGAAGGACGATAAAATATAATTATTTGCTTAAGGGCCTGAATGTATTTAAAAGCCCTTCATATCCTTTAGAAGTAATATACAAAATACATTATAAATGAACAAAATAAAATTAACAAATTATGTACGGTACATTTTAATAGCCTGGAGACTCTTTATTTCATCTGTCGATTGAAGTAAGATATTTGTAACTTTGAATTTAATTTATTAAAATTAACTCGAATGCGACACCGAAAGCATTAAGCCATCATAATTTGTTTCGGTTTTCTCTCATTTCCACGGGTGTAACATTGAGCTATGAGGCGCGTTGCTAGATGGATTCAAATCACTTTTATTCATCACTATTTATTTATTATTTATTGAGACTTGTTTTTTTTTATTTTGTTATTAGAAGTTGATAGAAGTTTCTAAGTTACTGTTACAAGCATACGAAAAAAAAATGATATGTATATACGACCTGATTGGAGTAGTGGGTAGTGACCTGCCTCATGCATCAGAGGGTTTGGGTTCAATCCCCACTACTAGAAAAATATTGTGTGAAGAACATAGTGTTTTTCCAGTGACTGGGTGCTTATATACGTATAATATGTATTTATTTACAAAGGAAAAGTATATTTAAGTATGTTTATCAGTTATCTAGTATCCATATTACAAGCCTTGCTCAGTTGCGGTAGGAAATCGATGGGACGTGATTAAATTAAACGGCACGGCGGCCATCTTGACATGTTTCTTTTATGAAGCATTTGTAAAGTGGCGCTGTGTTGTAACAATGCGATTGCATTTGAAATATTAAACAAGTAATTCGTGTTTTTATTGGCGGATCATTTAATGCTGATCAATTGGCTCTTATTAAATGGCGCTCGCCAGTATCTAATTTTTATGCCTTGTAACAAACTGATGGCCGAATTAAAACAACATTAGCTTTCAACGTACAACAACAACGAACCTTTACGGGGGAAATGGACAATAAACAGTGTCTTTATACAATGAAAAAATAAATAATAAATCAAAGAGGATGGGATCTATATATTATGCCAATGACCCCTGATTCGAAACAAATCGTCAATCTACTTAGCTGATATTTCTTCTGTTAGTAAATACATACAGTAAGAATCTTTGTAACTTGCAGGAGCTGTACAGAGTAGATAAACTTCTATGATATCAGTGAATTTGTGTTGAGGAAATTCAACCTACAAGCTTTCGTTCCATATGAAAATTAACAGTAAAGCTTTAGAAACTTTGATATAGATCTACGATCAAACTATATATCGAACGTATTTATGATAATTACACAAACTTAAAAACTGAGCAATCGGATAATTGAATGAATTGATGAACATGCAGTGAATATAGAGGTCTCTAATCGGGAATGGACCCTCTCGAGGCGTCGCCGAGGTGGCTGCTTCGTGCCAATATCCGAGGGGAAGAGGGAGGCTGCGGCTCGTGCCAGTACGACCGCCAGGTAACGCAGACGACCAATTCTCTTTTTGGTGGAATCGCTTTAAAGAGAACGATCCTTGGGAGATAACAAAGGTAGCTAACAGGATGAACTGGTAGATGTCATCATAACAACAACCTATCAATAATTTGGACTTGGTATGTACACGTGGACTTTTTTAAAGGTGCCCAAATTTATACAGGAGGTTCAGACTCGGTAGTATAATCGTTTATTGAAATAAAAACAAACTTTTTTATTTCAAACGAATTCCCATTCTATTCCCTAAAAAACAGAACTTGTTTGACAACGCGGTAGTCATTCATAAATATCTAAATTTTACTGTTCACGCACACAAACAAACTTGTGTGCATGTTACTTATGAATGATTGCGCGTAAAATTAATGAGTTGCGTTTAAATCAAGCACTTTTAAGATAAGTTCGAGTTTTGAGTAATGTAATTAATTACTTACGAGTGATTTAAAATGTTTATAATTTTTTATATAACATTATTAATATCTAGAATTTAATTAAAAAATGGATACACTTAGAAAAGCCTCCCTGTATAATATCCAAGTATATACTTGTATGTATAAATAAATAGATAATATGCCTAGTCAAGTTTATTGCCTATCAACTTAATGCTTGTATATTTAGCCAATGTTACTTAAGCATTTTATAGGGATCCAACTGACGGCGTTAACGTTACGGAGCTCTCAACAACAATGAGTAGGTATAAACCTTTGCTACCTTACAGTAAACTGTATTTCATAGTTTCTGTAGTTAAGACTAGGATATATCACTGATTAGACAGAGCACAAGAACATTGCTGCATTTCTGTACGTTAGAGTTCACGAATCAAAGAGCAAGCAGAGCGTCCGTTCGAAATGTCCCAGAAGCTGCGTACGCCATGTTTGCGGGATTCATTTCCACCTCAAGCAGTGTCCCTTATTCGCGAAAACGTATTTTCATCTTTTCGAGATGTAGGTGAATCGATAATGCTTTGAAAGCGGCAACCATCGCTGTTTATCGGTTATAATATACGCAAGAGTCTTCTCCAAGGTAAGTCTCACGACCTCACAGAAGACCAAGGTGAAGTGTAAGTGTTATACTTCTGCGTTTCGTCCGGTGAGTGAGTTTCATTAAAAGTTGGCAACGCATCTGCAATCCTATGTTGCAAATGTCAATGGGCGGCGGTTGTCACTTAATATGAGGTGAACCGCCTGCTCGTTCGCCACCTTTTCCCATAAAAAGCAATGGCGAATGTAACTATAGAATACAAGAAAGTAGAAAGATGAAGCGCGACATTGAACCGCGCGAGGCGAGCCGCGTCCTTGAGGCGTTATCGGCCGCGGCTCGAGTCGGTAGTTTTACGACACCGTAAATTACGTACGTTTGTGAAACTCGTAAAAAAGTCATCAAGGCAAAATTGGGCGCACTCCACTATGATAATGCGGCGGACAATCGAAGTAATTACGGGCCCGGCCGCCGCCCCGAGCACTATTACCGATTTATGGGTCGTCAGGCGAGCAGCGAAGATACCGCACCAACCAACTTTGCTCGCCCACTTCATTAGCGGACTGAAATTGTAAGACATCGCTTCTTCTTAGCCACAGCTTGTGCAATGTTCGGGGGAAGGCGACCTCCCGTTCACCACTCTCATTATAAAGCAAATATGTTACTGTGGAATGAAGCAAGAGAATACATATTTATTTGTGGAACATCAAAACGATTTTGTATATCTTCTCTGTCTTCGACTTGACAAGATGAGATTCTAATGGGAAGTGTACCAGACCTGCCTTCTGTGCCAGAGGGTGTGGGTGCGATCCCCACTACTGGAAAAATATTCTGTGGTAAACATAGTATTTTCTAGTGTCTGGGTGTTTATATGTGTATAATATTTATTTGTTTAAGTATGTTTATCAGTTATCTAGTACCCCTATGGGTACTAGAAAAACTTGTACTATTATAAGCGTTAAGTTAAGGACTAGAGAATGTTGTGTAAAAATGTGTCCTTAAATATAATATTAATATAATTATTTATATTATTTACTTATAATAAATTAGCACCTAGTATAGAAATAATTAATAGTAGTAGTTATTTCGATCTAGATAGATGACATGATGATATACGATTGGCCACGATTTTTAAGCGGGCCAAAGAAATAAATCCGTCCGTGCACACTCGTAACAAGGGTGGATACAAGCGGGCAATCACGATAACGAGCGCATTTATAACCGTACGATGCGAATCATACGCACTGGACAAATACGCGACCGAGTTATGTCGTCTGGAGTGGGGGGATGTGGGGGATGGAGGGATGGAAGAAGCAATGAGTGGGCGAAGGGAACAGGGAGGGGTCGAACGCAGTCATCATCAAAGGCTGTAGTCTGCACAGTATAGTTAGATAGCTTAGGTGGTCCAAACAAGTAAAATGTATATTGATATAGGGCGTTGAAAATTTTATCCAATATTAGGGATACAACTAAAACCAATTATCTTAACTTTTGACGAGGTTTTTTTTTTTTTATGTAAGAAGGTGGAAAATTACTTGGCGGTCCACCTGATTTTAAATGATAACGACCGCCCATGGCCATTTACAACACTCGTGAAATTGCAGGATATGTTGCCCCAACTACCTCGCTCATGATACGAAACGTAGAAGAACACCACGCCGGTCTTATGGTACTACCCGGACGTAACTGCCCATTCGTCTTGTATCTTGTATCTTCTTGTATCTTGTATTAACTGAAGGAACGGTTCGACAAGAAGGCCTGAATGGTGTGTACAAGCCTGTCTGGCACTTTGAGTGAGAACAGCTTGTAAAGCAAGCCGTTGTGCCAGACTTTGTCGAATGCCTTTGCGACATCGAAGAAAAGAGCCCCCGTGCTAATATGTTTAGGGTGATTTAGGCCTTTTAGGATATGTTCCGTTAGGCGGTATAATTGATCGGGACAGGAATGTCTTGCTCGAAAGCCGAATTGTTCCGCCGGTAGTAGGCCGTTGGAAAACACGTGGTCTTTGAGCCTGTTTAATAGAAGCCGCTCGTAAAGCTTCCCCAGGCAACTAAGGAGGCTGATGGGACGATAACTAGAGGGCTGATTGGCTGGTTTATTCGGCTGGTCGTCCGTAAAGGAACAACTGGAGAGTAAAGTGTTGTAAATGGTCGCCAGTAAACAGATAAGTGGGCCAGGGAGAGCTTTAAGGATTTTATTACTAATATTGTCTGGGCCCGGGGCGGATTTGGGTTTTAAATTTTTGATAATATCTTGGACCTCTTCGGGGGTCACTGAGTTTAATGGATCGCCTTCCGGTGGAAGCGCAGCCCTAGTTTCGATAACGCGGTCCACCTCCGTTAAGTGGGCTATGTCGATGTGTTCGCGCGATGGCGTACATTGCTGCTCTAGGTTGTCCGCAAGGCATTCGGCTTTTTCGGAGTCATCTAGGGCTAATGAAGTGCTATTAGGCATTGCTAACGGCGGTAGGGATTCGCGGGGCTCTGCTTTCAGACTGCGGGCCAACCGCCAGTAGGCGGTGCGCGCTGGCTCGATGTCCTCTAGGACATTGTCCCACGTTGTATGTCGGTGTTCCGATACACGATCTTTGACTTCTAGCTGAAGGCGTCGAAGTAGGGTTCGGTTCGATTCCGATCGGTATCGGTCGAAGGCGCGTTTGGCTGCATTTTTCTGTCTAATTAGCAGTCTTAGGTCGGGTGGAAAGTTAAACCGTCGGTCGCCCGACAGTTTCACCGTCCGTTCCGAGTCTGTGACTGCGGAATTAATGGTTTCTCGGAGACTTGCTATCGCTCGATTTGCGTCATCGAACGTAGCTATCGTCTCGGGTAAGTCTACTAAGTCCTGGGGGTCCAAGGCCTTGAGTTTGACCTCAAGGCGATGCCAGTCCACTACGGTTTTGGTCGGAGGGACCGCGCCGGCGTTCTGGCCCAGTTTGCACAGGACCGGCTGGTGGTCTGATTCTAATTCTAATTCTTGGATTGTCTCTATCGACGCGATGTCGAGGGAGACCTCCTTGAACAACATGATATCAAGAATACTCGGTGTCGAATGCTGGTAATCGTCCACCGTAGGATATCTTGTGGGAGTCACAGGAGCGATTATGCTATAATTTAAATCGTCAGATAAGTTAAAGAGCTGCCTACCGTTGTTGTTGGCGTAAGTTTGGGGGTCCCATGAGCCGTGTTTGCAGTTTAGATCTCCTGCAATTATCACGGAAGGGCCTAAGTTAAGTAGCGTTTCTAAATCGCTTTGTAGAAGAGTTTTATTCCCCGAGAGGTAGGCTGAAACTAGTACAAGCGGCCTGTGGCCGGTGAGCGCTAACCTACACGCGGATGCCTCTATATGTCTTAGCTCTGGGATATCGAGCGGGCTACAGTGCAAGGTGCCGTTTATAATATATTAAGGTACCTCCCAGACGGTTTGCTAACCGGTCGTGGCGGACTATATTAAAATTTGCGATTTTTGGATCGCGTCTGCTAGGTTTCAAGAAGGTCTCTTGCACTAGAAATATATCGACGTTATAATCGCGAAGGAATTCTGCGATTTCGTCCCTTTGGCCCCTAATGCCGTTTGTGTTAAAATACGAAACAACCAGAGCCCGAGGTTTTAATCTACCTGCGGTTGTACTTTCCATTTTAGTTTTAGTAGCGGTTCTAGGTAACGACGCGGCGAAGCGCGGTTTTATTGCCCGGACTATAAACCTTTATGGTTGATTTGTAAACACCCAAAGGGCGTCTACAAGTTTTTTGTGCTCGTTGAGCGCATTAAGTCGATCGGTGCCACATGTGGCGGCCGATAACTTTGTAGATAGGACGGCGAGCTCTTCCCGGTTTATGCGTTCCAGGAAGCTGCAGATGTTTGCCATTTGGGTAAAAGGGTCGTCTTGGTTCGCGGAAACGACCGGTGTAATAAAATGCACCTGCGGCCTCGGTGCTTGTTGTTTGACAGGCTGCGGTTGGAATGTCGTCGGTCGTGAGGCGACCGGAGGCGCGGCTACCTGCGCGACTGCCTGAGGTTTCGCCCAGGCGTTTACGACGGGTGCGGGCGCGGGAATGTACTTCGCCGGCGCGGATTTCGGGGCCGCGATTTTCGCGAGCATAATTTTTGCGGGTGCTTTCCTCGCGGGGGTTTTTGGAGCTTTAGCGCAGCCCCTGTAGCTAGCCGGGTGGCCGGTAGTCAAACAATTTACGCAGTCCGGTGGATCTGCGCAATCTTTAGGACGCGTGCAATCTGTCGTGCCGTGGTCACCGATGCATTTGACGCACCTAGGGTGAGCAAAACAGTTGCGGGCTGTGTGGCCATAGCGTTGGCAGTTATGACACTGCGCAACAACGCCTGACTTCCGTGGAGGCTCAACGACGAGTTCGCTAAGCCCACAGAGCCTCTTCAAATTAAATTGCCTTACCTTCCGGGGTAGGGTCCAACTCCACCATTACAATGTCCATCGGGACACGGGTTCTGGGGTGACGTAGGCGACGAACGGCGTGCACCGGGTATCCCTGAGTGCGGATGTCGATTTTTACATTGTCGACATCCGACTCTTTCGGGATTCCCTTTATGACTACCCGAAGTTTGCGTTCTTCAGGCAGCGAGTAGGTATGGAAACCTACTTTGTTTTCGCGTAAATATTTAGTGACGCGGCGGAAGTCATCGATGCTATCGAGGTATACACGGATACCTTGATGGGTGTTCTTCGACCGGGGGTCTCGAATATTGTGGCGTTCGAACCACACGCAAATTTGATGCCATTTAGCTTTCTCCTGGATGATGATAGGCGGAGGAGGCTTGGCTTTTCTTTCGGCGGCGTATTCGGGTGCCGGTTGGACTGCCGCGGCCGCCTTTTTGCGGGCGTCGCAGTGGATCTATTAATTGAGGTGGCGGCCTCGCTTTCGGGGTCGCTATCTACAGCGGGGCGTTTCTTGCCCTTCTTTTTTTCGTCCAGTGACGACGGTGAAGCCGTCGTCATTGGGTTTACCGGCGGGAGTTAAATCTACCTCCATATCCGATCCGCCGTCCGAGTATGAGTCGAGTACGACGGTGCACAAGGAGGCGGGGTAGCTTGCGAGGAAGGCGCGACGGGCGTGTTCGCAGCGGCGGATGTCGACGCGACGGGCGCTTCTTGCGTCGCGGAAGGCAACGGGGTTACGGACGCAGAGGGCGCTGGAGATGGCGGCGATGCGATTGCCGGTGAAGGCGGGCTGTCGTTGGCGTATTCAACGACTAATCGTTGTTCGGATTCGAACGCTAGGTAGCTTTCCCAAATGTGGGGACAGCGTTGTCGGACGAACTCCTCGAAAAGGGAGCCCATCGTAACGTATGTGCCTTTGGGGCTTAGGCCCCGCCGGCGTGTGTAAACTTAATAAGCCTCCCCACCTTGCGGCAGGGAGGAGTGTGCCTAAAAATAACACTTAATTCGCCTGCGCTTTAGGTGCGCTAGGGTGAGTACCTAGCTGTCGCCCAATGCAACAAGCACACAGTTAAAAATTAGGCAATGCCGCCTCTGACGCGAGAAATGTGTGTAGAATTCTACTTACGGACAGGAACCTGCCTACGAGCACAACACTACACTAACACTAAACTATTGCACTACTTGCACGAATATTTAAATTGCAACCAAAGTTGCGAGTAGCGTCTAATTCGGGTGGCATGTGCCCTCCGTCTTAGAGAGACGTCCTTTCCGTACGAGAGCACGAAGCGGGTGCCCATTCGTGCATCAGCGAAGACAGTTGCATGGCCCTACCACCTACGACACCCAAGGTAGTTTAGAGTAGTTCATTCAAAGTTTCATCCAACAGCACCGACACTCATTTTAGTCAATTCTATTGGATAGAATGGTCTAGGAAACGTTAAAAGCGTTAAAAGTGCTGGCCGTTTTTCCCGCCACGGTTCCCTGAACGACATCATCCGTAGGGCTCTTGTTTCCATCAATGTTCGATCTATTTTCGAGCCCTGTGGCATTTTTCGCGATGATGGTAAGAGACCCGACAGTTTAACATTGATCCCTTGGGAGACAGGCAAAGCCCTTGTTTGGGACGCCACTTGTGTAGACACTTTGGCTGCCTCTCATCTAAGGGGTACTTCGGTCAGGGCCGGGGCGGCATCGGAGGCAGCTGAAGTAAGTAAATGGCGCAAATATGAGTCTTTATGTTTAGATTATGTATTTGTGCCATTTGCTGTTGAAACATTAGGTCCGTGGGGTCCCCGCACATCAAATTTTTTAAAAAGTTTATGTCCTAGGCTTAACGCCGCGGCTGGTGACAAGAGAGCTGGTTCTTTTCTCGCTCAAAGGTTAAGCATAACTATTCAGCGAAGAAATGCAGCTAGCGTTCTTGGCACCATGCCGCGTGGATTAGGTTTATTAGACAATATGTAATTTTAGATAGATTTAATCTTGTAAATTTTAGATCAATAAAGATTGTAAACAATTTTCAAAGCTAAACACTTCTATTTTGTAAAAAGCCATCATCAGCCGCTACAAGCGCGTTGGACGGAGAAAAAAGTCCCACCAAAACACAGATGTTAATTATTGTTAATGATACATTTACTTTAACTCTTGCCTTTTCACACTTTTTGATTTCAGCCATTCAGAGTTTTTATCCAATCCTTGTTTAATAAACGCGAAGAAAACACAACAAACATTTAAAAACGGTGTGCAACTCGTTACTTACTTAATTGACTAAAATTCATTTAATTTTTAATTATATATATTATATTTAAAATGTTTAAACTTGCTAAGATTAAAGTATAAAATACAGTCAACATATTTATGTGCCTTGTTCTTATGCTAGTGCTATTCTAATGTGGCTAATGTTAAGACAACCCTTAACATTTTTTATGTATGGAGTTACGGTTCTTCTGTGAGTATTTGTGTTCCGTGCAGAAATGTTGTTTTGATTTAGAAACAGTAAGTAGTTTAAAATTTTTAGAAAAGAATTATCCAAGTGTAAATCGGTAAGTTGTTTTTAGTGCATACCTCTGTGCTTTAATCTCTGTGCACGCCACTGTCGAGAAGCAAGTATGACCATGTCATGTCTTCATTCTTAACGTGCTCAGCTTCAGTGGTTACCTATACGTCAAAGACGTTCTCTAAGAGCACTGACTACTCTTTACTCTTTCCTGAACTCTTCTTCTTGTCCGATTTACTTATCCCATAATTTTAAATATCTATGTGCTGTCAGCAACAAAAACCTTCGCTCCTCGCATAATCGTTTTCTCGTATGTCTCTCTCACCGTTCTGACTTCACGCACTCTTCTTTTTTATCCAGTCTATCCTTCTGTGGAATGCGCTACCTCTCAAAACCAGGTTGGCTAAAAGTCGCTCTGTATTTAAAAAAATCTCGGGAGCACATCCTCAAAAACTTGTCGGCAGGTCATACTCCATCGTTAATGGTCAGAATTTATTTATATATATGTACATACGTATTTATGATTGTATGTATATATTTATTTATGTGTATGTTTTAGTAGCATATGCATATACATTTATTTATAACATAGTTTATCTTTTAACAGCATTTTCTTTTTTTGATATACTTCTGTGCACCTATCGAATCTTCTCTGTACCACCCCAAGGTTGCCTGGGAGATAATTTGTTGCGTGGTGGTAGTTCAGTCTCTTCTGTACAGTTTGTGCATAAAGTATCAATAAATAAATAAGATCTGTGGTTATAGAATCTGTTGTTGTTGCTCTACTACAGTTAAGTTCTCGAAGTACACACAGTGAGCGGGTGGTAATTATCCACCCCTATTAGCTTATATATACATGTCCCTGGAGCTTACTTCAACGAAGTTTTAGTGCTTTATGGCGGACTATGGTTAACAGTGATGATTTATACTCATCCTAATATACCGTTAATAGACTGAGACATTAAAAGGCAATATAGCATCGAAGCAACGCCATGGCCAGGGCCACCAATCAATGCGCAATCAACACGAGTGCACCTCGCCTTCTTCGCTTGAGCCCTCCGTGGGACCTCTCGCTAACAAATCAATACAGTCTGAATTTGTACCGTTTCGGCGGAATCTACTAACATAAAGACAAATTAACGCGTATCACATCCCAATTTGGAATGACTTGAATTATTATAGGACGCTTATTCTAAAAGTCTTATACACATTACTATTTTTTGAAACAATATTAATTAAATGAAGCAAAATCCAATCTTCCCTTAAAAATGTTAAATGTAATGGATTGTTCCGAAGCTATTAAAATAAAAAAAAGCTTATACACGTGCTATCCAATTAAAGTCGGAATTGAATTAAAATATTACAATAATTTTATTTTGTTTCATCGTAACGATGACAATCTCTCAATGTTAGAGCCTCGTGTCAAGAGGAAAAGTTAAAAGGGTCGTTGGTATTAGGTAATGTACTGAAGCAATTTAGCCTTATCGCGGCCGTGGCGATGCTCTGGCGCGGCGGGCGGTGGGCGGCACGGAAGTTGAGCGGCGGCCGCTGCGACGGATGCGTTGCGACGCGCTTTGCATACAGATTGCGTCGCATGGGGCGCAAGGGCGCCGAATGCATCCGAATCTCATCAGGCGACGTTGAATCTTATTAAAGGGCAGCTCCGAATATGCGCGTGGACGCAGGCTGAAAGCAACCAACGACGTAATATTTTCGCGTGGTTATGAATAAAATTGCGCTCAAAATAGGCACTTATTTAATGTAAATTCGCTCTCGGCTCCCAGGCAGGCAGTGTTACGAAAACGTCAGCCGCTTCCACGCGAATTTCCATGAAATTAATAAATTATAAACAATGCTATGATATAGTTCTGATAAAAAAAATTCCATACACTTATCTTCGAACTAAGGATAATAAACGTCTTTCTTTTTGACGCTTAACTCGTATTTCACAATACGTTATATGGCAAGAGTGTTAATGGTAAGAGTGATTGATACATCGTTTTTTCATCTATAGGTAATACTTTTAGTTTATGTAGTACATAAACAAACAATGCCTCGAGCAAAATTATTGCAATAAATTCAAAAGTAACCAGCCGACAAACCATAAGCACAAATTTTTGCTTCAAACGCAATCATGGATCATCTCTTTCGTATAGATTTAATTCATTCCGAATAGATTTAAAGTAGATTTACCATTTCAACAACTTAAGATCTATAACTCGAATTTATTAATAATATTAAATAATAAATAAACTTTTAGGACACGTTTTTACACAACGTTCTCAAGTCCAAAACTAAGAAAAGAAATTGTACTACGAGTACTAGATAACTGTATTTTTCCAGTATTGGGGATCGAACCCACACCTTCTGACGCAGGAGGCAGGTACTACCCCCCACGCAATTCGGGTCGTCGTATGCATTTTTCACCGACTTCAAAAAAGGAGGAGGTTTTCAATTGAAGTGTATTTTTTTATGTTTGTTTCCTCAGAGCTTTCAACTGAATGAACTGATTGCGATGATTCTTTTTTATTTGAAAGCCGGTGCTTCCCATGTGGTCCCATATTATTTCATTGGTATTGAATCTTGGACTCCGGAGATACGTAGGGAACTCTTGAAAATCAATTATAAAATGAATACAGAACAAAAATATGGAGTTTTTTGCGTTTAATTCCGCCTATTTTTCTATATTTAGGAACAATAATAAAATTTTCCTCCAAAATATTGTTGTGTAATTATTAAGCATAAAAAATTACCCAAATAAATTATCTCAGGGTCATATAGTTACGAATATACAATATAAGCTATGCTAGGATAAAAGGTGACAAACATGTTGTACCTAATTGTATTCAAATTGAAAATTTGATTTTATTTAATCATGACCTTCAATTAACTACAGCATATCCCATCCTTTCCTTTTTGTATCTTTTACCAAATGGGTTCCGAACCTTTTGTGCCCATGGTCCCCGGAGCATGGCTAAAGACGGCTCTGAATTTCTCTCGCCCATGGCTCGAAATTCATTAAACTGAAATGTCTGTCTAATCATTCGTCGCTTGAACAGATTAAATTATGTCGAGTTTAACTCTTTCGCTAAAATTGGCGTAATGGGAAAAAAGTGAAACATGCAATTGTGTAAGTCTTACAACGGGACACGAAATTGTGAAAAGCAAAGAAGTGAAAAAAAAAAAACCAACATTTTAATCCTTTGTTCTTTTAGCTAAGCAGCTTATAGTCCTTTGTCTCGTGGATTATTTGTGGACATTAAGTGCGATCCGCCTTTTTGATTCATTACGGTAAAAAGCGTTAGGAATTTTGCGTATGGACTTTTACCTCCTGCCGTTATTCCATCTAAGTGGGGTCGGCACGGCATGTGAACTTCCTTGCGAACAAGCACCCGGAGCCTGATCAATCATATGCGGGTCACACAAACATTTGTGTCTTAGCAAATGAAAAGTATGATGGCAGACGGAACATTAACATACTTTGTGATTAGTTTTCAAATTCACTATGTATTATTAAAGTGCTATTAATATATTTTGTTAAATAAAAAAATCCATATTACTTGTCTTAGGTAAGTACCTAAGTAAGTCCTCAATGACAAAATGATCTCTCAATATCCAGTACAGCATTTAAATATTTTGGTTAGTGTATCGTACTGGGCAGATACATAACTTATGTTCAAGTAAACCTTGGATTAACAGTTAAAAGATAAGAAATATTAGAAATTAACTGTTGAAATCAACAAATTATGTACCAATAAAATGCGACATTTTAAAGTTCAATAAAAACTAAACAAAGAACTCAATTTTATTCGTTCGGCCTTTACGGCGTTACATTTGAATGCGATCGTGGCATCGTTTGGCGAACGAAAAGCCCCCCCCCCCCTATGTGCCCACCGTCTCACGTGGGCACATATGGCAGACGCGATATAAGAATAGCCGGCCAACATCTCTTTGAGAGCTAGTGCGGGCGGCCGCGGCGGATGCCACTCACGGGTTGCGTTATCGTTGTTAACACCACAGGAATAAGGTAAACCGGCACTTTCATGTCATGGGTAACCCATTATTTTATCACTCATTGAATTAGTTGTTTTTTTTTTTTTTTGCGATTTAATATTTTTGAGATATCATTCGAAATTTTTACACAACATCAGTTACTTCTTACTTCTAATACTAATAATTGAGGTTTTAAAACAATTTTCGAAGTCCATTCTTAAAAATATTATCATGGTTGTGTTACTAATTAAACAGCTCTCGATCAAGTGGAACAATATTAGCGATAAAATCCTGTCCAGCTCTGGACGGGATCGACTCGCTGGATTAGTGGTTTGGAATAATGTGAACCGGGTAGTTATGCCCGTTATGTCGTTGATATTACGTTGCGATCCCGGCACTATTTATTATATTCAACTATAATGCAACAGCCGCCGCTGAACACCATTATAGAAAATACTGAACAAACAAGAAGTATATCAGAAAGTTGTTGTGAATAAAATCTAATTTATAAATCAAACACCGCGTTACAAAAAGGCGTTGTTATCACAGGCAATTAAAATTCAGTGTGGCAATGCGAAAATAGGCAATATTCACAAGGTACTAAGTATGAGAGTCACGTATCAAAGTTGTACACGGGTTACTCAGTTAATAGTGAGCAGAATCGTTTTCAACTACGTCCATTATAAAACTTCCGGCGTTAATATGCAAAGTTTAATTTGTGGCCAAAATTGGAGAGCATTAATTCCAGTAATAAAGGGATCGGCGCAAGTTTTTCACGGGTTTGAACTGTTTACCCGCCCGTCCTGGCCGGTTACTGTTGCTAGTTGAATAAACACGCCTCCGGCCGATGGCGAACTTTCGGTGGATCGTTTCATTTGGTAACATATCTTTTTTGCAATTTAGTTTAATTGTAACTTTCATTTCTAATTGTATTTGTACAATTATTTGCAACTGCATTCATTTGGAATGTTATTTATCGATGCCACGAGGACAAATGTTGGAAGAACTATTGGAATCCTTCAGTATTCTTCCAATGTAATTCGGCACCTTAGCAACTGTTCAATCACACAAACGGTTGGAAGTGATTTTCCTTGTTGTGAATTTTCCTGTGTATTGTGATGAAGTAAAGCGTCTCTTGATGTCAAATTCAAATTTAAAATTTCTTTATTCAATATTGGCTTGTATTAAGCTTTTATTGCACGTTAAAAAAACTATCACCGGTTGATTAATTTAGAACTGTGCAGAGAAACAACTGCGACGCTAAGGAAATCGCCCCGGGTTCAGTAAAAAGTTCCGACGATCCGCTTTGAAATCATTAAACTTTCAGTCTCAGACGTATTTAACGTGATGTATCAAGTTCAAGGAGGTCGACTACATATTCTTCATGCATTGTGATGTTGAAACGCTTCCGCAACTAAAGCTTATGTTTGTTTTACAAATTTGAATATTGCGTTTTGTTCAAATTGCCATGTATGCCGAAAGCAGAAAACAACGCCAGCAGCAGGTATACAAAGAAAACCTCGCTCAGGGCGTTATCGATTGTAGGTGGTGGTGTTTGCAGTGCGCAAGCCGAGGGCAGAGGAAGGCAGCGCACGGAACTCCGGAAATGAGCACTCGATATCCGCCCCCGCTGTCCAAATCAATTTCGCTTTACAGCGCTCCGAAAAATGCACGACAAATTCGCCTCGGGTGATTTAATTATGCGCCAAATCGGGCGCGACCGGTTCTCGAATTATACGACTGGATATTGGTTTAGTTTGGGGCGCTAAGCGACGGGAATTGAGTGGGGAATGGACGCCGTTAGGGAATAGAGGAATGCAATGTACGAACGTCCTCCCTGCCTACATAACTACACATTCAAATGTCTCTATTCAATACAGAAGCATTACACTTACTTTTTGTTATTGTTTGTTAAAATTCTACTACTACTGGTTCAGAAAAGAAAAGCCACTATGCACCTGAGAAGAACCGGTGAATGAAACTTAACGTGAACATTTTTCTTTACCAATTATTTAACAATAAAATATGATTACTAGGTATAGTCAGGTCAGTATAGACTTAGGTATAGTCCACTTGAAAGAGTCTGGAGCGATAAATTCATTTCCAGTGTGTTATCATTGAAATAATCACTAATATTGTACCTTTTGAAAGTTGGCGATTCATCCGGGGAAATATGACGGCCTGACAGAAAAACGGCGGAAAGTGGAGGAAGAATATATATTATTTTTTGTACACCATGAACATGAATAGGTACAAGGGCATATTTACAAAATCCTGTAAAATGTACGTACAACAGGCGGTCTTATCGCTCTTCAAGCATATATATCTAAGAAAAATATTGTAATCGGAATTATTTTAATTAAATAATTGTATCGGAAGATTGATTGTCTAATTAAGGAATTATGTAAACATTATGTATTATTTATTATTCGACAGTCGACAGATATAATTAAATCATTATGGTCGCTTTTAAACTGCGATTGATATAAGCGAGAATGCACGGTTGAAATATTTCAAAGCGCTAGCTGACGGTCCAAGACTGCAAAAGCACGCAAATATTGAACAAAAGAAAGGGGGAACAACACTCCCAAGAGTCGACTGTAATGAAAACTTACCCGGCTTCGTATTTAAAACAGAGGGGCAGCAACAAACAAAATAAAACCCCGAACAGTGCGAGCTAAGGCGGGAGGAATACCTCTCCAATCAAAAAGAGTCGGTTCATAAAAATAGTATTATATTATTATAGTATTAGACAAAAACACCTGAACCGAACCATACATAAAATTAAAAAAAACCTGAGACGCGGTTCCCACCTCTCAATTTGAGAAGTTAAAAAGTGTTCTTCCCAACGTGGCATGTGCAATGGAACAGCGTGTACCCTAGCAGATTAACGTGCTTGGCCCTGCCCGGATGGCTGACAAAATATTTTCCTGAATAAAGTAAATGACCTTTTACCGCGTTTTACTAATTTTTTATTTACATTTATATGAGAATAAATGAATTTATATGAGTTAAATTCATTAAATTTGTTGGACCCCTCCCACTGACTCCGTGTTGAATGGCCTTATGGTAAGTCCAAGATAAAGCGAAAATTAATGGATTTCCGTAACTGACTACTGCCAGTTTTTAAATTTAAATGCCCGGACCTACATGACATTCCGACGTCCAACTCTTCAGTCTGCTCCGTGACCGTTAACGCTGAAAAGTATGAAGTGATATGGAGAAAGTTGATATGCTTCATGTGTCGCTTACTAATGTATTTTGTTTATACCCTATATTGATGCGACGATCGTAGGCAATTATCTTATCGTTATCTTTGCAAATTAGGCGTCATCATTGTATAAAACAATTAACATATTACAATGCTCCTGTGGATTTGCGCGGAATAATAAAACGGAGAAACAAGAAAGCTTTAGACTATTTAAAGTCAACGTGCCGTAAGGGGAAATGGGAGCAGAGAGCTCAAGTAATTTAGATTCGAAGCAAGGCGACGCCAGCTTTAGTATGAATGACATATGTAAAATAAAACTTTTCGGCGAGGGGCGGGAGAGTCTCTGAGGCCATAAGGAGTGATTTCCACTCAATTGAGCAGCAATATCAAAAGCGATCTTATTTGACAAGTGTCATTTGGCAACATATTAAGTATCGGCAACGCTCGAAGTCGCTACATTTTCTTCATTGTTTATTGACATAGTGCGTGAATTCAAATGCCATTTCGAATATTTGGAACGCTGTAACTTCGCATTATGGCGGACTTTTTTCTGATAAAGTTGTACTTATTCGTTATACCCTTCGGCTATTTATTGTTAAAGTATTTTTGTGACTTTTATTCAATTTCATTAGCTAGATATACATACTTGTAAGGTTACTAAATATATTGTTTCGATCAGAAATCCGATGCAATCGGTGCATAAATGTTTGTGCTTCTAATATCTACTTATATTATTTCGCAAAGGTGATTTCATGGGAGCGGCATAATTTCCAAAATCCTTCGTCAAATTTAAAAATAGAAATACTTCTTAAAGCTTATATTTGCCGCTATTTGAGGAAAATGGACAACAAGAATTAAGGTAATGTTTGATTTTGGTTAGTGAGTGAATGAATGTTTCCTCCCCACAGTTTGTGTTCAATAATTATCTTGAATCCGTGTGGCGTATTGCCAATAATTAATGTTGTAAGATATGTGCAAATGGAATGAGTTGTGTGAGAGGAGAGGATAAAAAGGATATACCTACACATTTGTTTTATATTTCATATACGTGGCTCACACTGAAAGCCCTTAGAAAATCATAAAAAGATTCGATGTAGTTTCAAGTTTCCAATAGTTTTATTGTTGTTCGAAGTAGTATCCATTCCTCTCTACACGTCTCCGCATTCGATGGAACCACTAAATAAACAGTGAGCCCTTTCTTCGTTAG